ACTTTCTGAACATGACTTTCCAAGGATTCGCTGAAACAGTAATCAATCAATCAATCAATTTGAAACTCAAAACTCAAAACTCAACTTTGCCAGGTTTTGATTCCATGGCATTGGACTTAAGCAAAAGCTTTTCCGAAGACACAGACTTCTTAGTATGTTGACCGAGGGTGTTCGAACCATGTGCTTCTCCTTTCGCTTCTTTCGTCCTCTTGGCATTTTCTTTCGAAGGTTTCGTGAATTGATTTCCCGAAAACTTCCTTTTAGGACGCCTTATTGCACGATGCTTAGGAGGCATGGTTGTTAACGTGAAAAAAGAACGAGAAACAGGATAAAAAACTCAAAACGCCACGCCACTAGTATTGTTGTGAATTTCGCAACGACAACTTCTCGTGTTTCACAGGCTCATCAACTACGACAGGCTAATCGTTGTTTTGTAGGGGGTAACAGAGAGTCCCTTGTCACGCAACGATCGTTTTCCGGGCGAAAACAACTATTGGGGGATTGTTTCTTCACTGTAAACAAGATTAAAAACAAACCTGTTGCCCCTGGCAACCAAAGACCTGGTCTCAAAAATGAGTAAATACTGGACAACAAATAACATTTTCATTAAAAATTAAACTGTGCCGTTAATACCAAGTGAAATACGGACCTTTTCCAGCAATAAAAATTTTTAGGTTAAACTTCGAAATTTTTGCCTTTTTTAAGGTATCATACCACCTTAACGGTTACTTATGACGGTGATTCTCGAAAAAATTACTACAATTAGTATTGTCTCTGGCGATAACCACGACTTGACGAGGCATTGATGTATAGAACATGTGCGCACGCAGCTCTGTCAGCTACTTATGATTCAGCAGAAGGTTGAGTCCAATTAATATTGACAAAACCACTGATACATGCGTTAAAAATTTGTAATTTCAGAATATATGTACTATATGTACTTTAAAAGCTCTGCGTTGACGTTAAAATTCATCGAAACCACTTTGCATTTAATCACAGGCGGCCCAAGCTCACGTCTCGAGAAAAAGCCAACGATTAATTCATGAAAGCGTCAAGCGTTGTGTGACTCGGTGTTAAGTTACGGAGAGGAACCCTTGAAAATTTGAACACGTTATAAGGAATAGTATGGGGAACGAAATATTGTCGATTTACAACGGTAAATATTTCGAAATATGAATATTTTACACGTAAAATCAATAACACTTCCTCGCATCCTGTGTGTCCGTTGTAGTTTCTGGCGATTTCTTCCGTTTTAGGCTTGCTTTACCGTCACTGTTTATCCTGTCAAAAGACGAAGTCAAGGCTACACACTTCGATTTCGACCGTTGTCCATGCGGAGGTGGTTTGCGCACCGAAAATCCTCCCCATCGGCATTTTTCTCAGCCATATTTTACGATCTATGATCATTGCACTTTGGGACATGTCTCAATATCAAAACTTTCCCCTTTAAATTCTCCTTTTAAATTCTTTACAGTGACCAATTTACGTCATCAACCCAGTTGAATTTGCTAAGTCATCCTGTAATTACCACAGAGTCAACATATGCAGTGCAGTACTGAGGAATCATCTTAATACAAGTTCGACTTTAACCTATTCATTTCTGTCAACGCGAGATGTTATATCAACATTAGTTGGCGAGACGGATATCCGATTCTCTTGCACAAGTTTTAGAAACTTACGTTGTTGCCGTTCTTTAGAGGCATCGAACAAACTCTGAATATTAACTTTGATCTTTCCAATGATATCACCAGCGTCGCTTTCCGAGAAAGTAACTGTCATGTTCCTGCAGTGGATTCGGTCTTTACGTTGGCATCTCCCTTAGCTCCATAGGTCAGTCGTATTCTTTCCCTTAAGAATGATCTCAGTGAGGCTAGCTCGGCAACTCTGTGAGCGCCTTTGGTTGGAACTGACTACATATGAGATAAAAGATGATAATGCATTTGTGCTGTTTCCACCACGTTTTATCTCGACAGCCTTTTTTCTATGATATTGATTCGGTATTCTTAATCGCTTATTTCAATACAGATCAATACTTCCAAACTATTTCGTTTGAAGTATGCCAACATCCGTTGACATGTGGTCGTGCTCTATGACAATTTCTCAACATAATGATGACCACTTCATTTGCTCTGATATTAATTGAAGCCGTTATCATTGTCTGTGTTATGGCATTGATCCTTTCGAGTATCGCGTATACAACAGATATTTTAGTATGATATTTGAAGAACAACAAGTCTCGATAAGAACGCAATTAGAATAATTTGTTAGAACGAAACCAGCTTACGAGCACTCCATGCTCGGCGAAAGGCACCACTCTGGAAATACCTTTTTCAATTTTTTCTTTCATTACTCGGTTCTCTGGATCCAATACACAATTCTACTAACATTGAAGCTTATTTTAATTCTGTGAAATTGTTGTTAATCTCTAAGGCTCTCAAATTCTGATTCCCACTAAATACTTCTTCTTCAACTACAAAAATTTGACTCTACTCTTCTGCACAATGTCTTCACTCGCTTAGTCTGCTTTCCTCTCTCTTCTCTCTACTCTCCTGAGTAACCTATAAAGAAAAAGTTTTAATAGTCAATACTGACAGATATAGGTGGTAATGCCAGCCAGCTCTCCTTGGGAGATTGAACTATTTTTTGTTGTAACGCTAAACCAAACAATTTCACGAGACTTCCGAAATGATTAACGAAGTATTTCATCATAATGCTTCCGTTCAACAGAGTCAACCTCTGATTGCATCAGCCAAAACATGAACTTCCACGTGGGTCCAAAGCAAGGTCAGTAAACAAATTTAGCAATCCACCTAGAGAAGTTAGACCAAGTTGTCACAAGTCGGAAAGTCATCCCGTCAACGTAAACATAAATAACATCGGAATTCGAGTTGATACGTTAAATACACTCTGGATATAAACGAAAGATTCAATCATACTAAACTAATTAACTAAATGACGAACTAATTATCAATTAGCTAAATGATTCATAACAAATTTATTTGAATAAAATGCCAGATTTTGTATTTTGTATCGCTACAAAAGTTATAAGCAGACACACGTCAGCAATTTTTCTGCATTATAGTATTACTTTGAACACTTCAATCCAAATCACCTTGCAGTAATCATCACACAATACGCCGCGGTGACTTCTGCAGCTCGAAGTGCGCACTTTAATGGAATAAATACCTTGCGGTCAGAATTTATTTCCCAAATTTTCAATTTAAACCCAATTTCATTTCGAGGGTTCCCAAAAGTTATGTTGATTTTGTAGATGATGAAAGAAATGCGCGGGCGTAGGTATCATTTATGGTGATGTTCAAAGCTCCGCCCGCATTATCTGGCGATTAGTTCAAGTTATTCAACGGATAAAACTACTTTCCTTACTTTCGCGATGTTTCTGGTTCAACAATAGACTTATGTAATAAATACTTTTGCTTAAGAACTTAAGTGGCTTATCACTTTTACGTGTGCCAAGAAAACTGCCGGTTCCCCTCTTTTTTTTTTCTTTTTTACCCAGCATCTGCTGCAAATGGATTTCTGGATTAGGAAATACTCTGACGCACGCGAAAACTATTTGCGATTAAAAAAAAAATGTTCAAATAGTCTTTGGGTGAATTTTTCACGCGTTTGGTCACAATCCAAACGACCTTTTGAACGGCAGCTGAAATCACAAGACTTGAAAACAGAGGTTTTTTTTGCATTTTTGTTTTGATTTTTGATGGTTTATTTGTTTTTCTCTTCATACTTCACCGCTGAGTAAATGTATAGTTATTTTCGGTTTCCAAATTCTGAAGACTGCGTTTGATTAAACATCAGCTAACAATGAATATTTCGAAATTTCCGGACAGAGAAGACATCGACATGTTATCGTCTGATAAAATAATAAAACCAAAAAACCTACGCATTCATATTTAAAGGTAGCATTTGAAGCCAACCTCAGCTCTCAAGGAGAAATGGATGCTAATTATAAGAATAATACATATGCCTGATATTTTTTTGGGTCAACAACACTGTATAAGACAGATATATCTCGGTAGCTTGCAGCAGTATCTTATCAGAAGGAATGCATTAATAAGAAATCATTGTATTTCCGATAATACGCACACAAATCCGCTGGGCATTTTCCCTGAGGTCATAAAGTAATGCGAAATTTAATATGCGTGGCATATCTCTGGATCCATCGATTGATTGATTGACTGACTGACTGACTGACTGACTGACTGACTGATTGATTGATTGGTTGATTGATTGATTGATTTATTGATTGAGTGAGTGAGTGAGTGAGTGAGTGAGTGAGTGGGTGAATAAATGATGATGTGACTGCTTGGCCGTCTCACTATCATTGAAGTCAAACTAATTTTGTACTCTGCTCCATAATAATCTGGGTAAGCCATGACATATCGTCACGAGATATTCGCTCTAGCTTTATCAAAGCTGATTTATAATCGAGTGACGAGGTGTGTAAGGTTCTTTAAAGATAAGGACATCTTACTGAAATCAAATAGGTCTTCAGAGAGTTTACTGCATCTTCCATTATCTTCCACCATTTCGCCGAAAAAGTGCTCGAGTACAATTCAGGCCATTTCAAATAACTTCTTCGTGTTACTCACTTAGCCTGTTTAGTTCAGCTGCAAACTTAAGTTATTGTCGGAAACAGAATAATAGCATAGATATCAAATAGCGATTGTGAAATGTTTGTCTGGAAATTTTGTTATTCTTATGTCTGGAAGATTCGTATCTAGCCAATCAGCGTTCTTTTTAACTAAGGTGTCCCGCAAAGATAAGGAACAATTGTCTGTGATTTATTTAGCTTTCAGTCGAAGTAATCTTTCATATCAGTCGAGTCGAGGAGTTGTGACAGTTGTGAAACCTAGCGAGAATAGAAGAGGAGAAGAATAAAAATCTAGTGAAGACGAGACAGTGTGGGCTATCCTTACTAATTCCCCACATTAGTGGCACCTCCGACGGGACCTGCAGTGATTTGGACAACCTGTTAGTCAATGGAAGCTAAACTGGAGGCAGAACTTCAGCTTCTAAAGCTTACACGAGGAAGGACGAAATCTGTCGTGGAGAAGGGAAATATCGAGAAGATCACTCGACATAAAGAAACTCTGGGAAAGATTGTGGCATCTATAGAAGACTTGAAGCTAGACATCGAGAAAGGTAAGCTTGAAGCGGGGAAAAGCATTGACGAAGTTGATGAATGGGGAAAAATTATCGAGCAAACGATTGATGATGTAGATAAAGAAGTAGAAGATTTAAATCGTCATCTCGAAGAAGCTGGGGCAAAAGCAATAAACAAAAAACGGGAAGAGGAAGAGGAAGAGGCTCTTCTAGCCAAAAGGAGGGAGGATGAACTGAACTTTGAAAAACTTAAACTTGAGCAAAAATCAAAAATGCAGTCGCCCGATCAGCCCGCCGAAAAACCCCTAAGTAAGGGAAATGTCAAAATGCCAAAGCTGGTAATTACGAAATATGACGGCACCTACGAAAAGTGGCTTTCCTTTTGGAACAAGTTCAAAGCGGAAATCGATGCAGCCGATATTCCCCCGGTTACTAAATTTGCTCATCTCAAAGAATTACTGGAAAGTGATGTTTGTGAATCAATCGATGGCCTCCCATTTAGTCCTGAAGGTTATGAACGTGCTAAAAATATCTTGAAGTCCAATTATGGCAAGACAAGCGAGATTGTGAGAGCGTATATTGATAACATCAATGGTTTACCTGTGGTAACTGGATGCATCCCTAATGAAATTCATAAATTTTGTCAGACTTTGAACTACAATGTTCAATCATCAGAGACTCTAGGTAAACTTTCTGGGTGTTTATTTATGGTGCGTGGCGACCTAGACAAATTGCCAGACATAAAGGCAGACCTCGTGAGCGGAAAACCGGGATGGCAAGATTGGGGTTTCGGGGACCTTATGCAGGCTTTAGAAGAATGGAAAGCCATTCATCCGATGGAAACTCTGGGGGTAGAAAAGGCAAACGAAACGTCTCCGACTCCGCCGATTTATCACCCGCCGCGTCCGCCGCGTCCCCCACGTTTGCCTCGTGACAGAAGTTTCTACGCGCGACAGGGCGAACCCAACCCACGACACGCGTGTGTCTACTGCGATCGCGTGACACACAGATCTTGGGAGTGTGAGAACGTGACATCTCCAGCGGAGCGCCGTCGCATTCTACAAAACAAACGCTTGTGCTTCAACTGCACTGGGCCTCAACACAGCGCTTCACAATGCCGAAGCCGCGCATCTTGCGTACACTGCAAACAAAGGCACCACTCATCTATTTGCGACCGACCGTCGGCAACTGGACGCCAAAGAGCGAACAACGGCGGAGTGGCTCTAACTGCAACTCAAGAAGGAGAGAAAGTCTGCCATCCAATCGTACTTGTCAAGTTGAATGGCGTGACCTGTAGAGCCCTACTGGACACCGGTGCGACTGCGTCTTATGCTTCAGGATACATCTTGGATCGTCTAAACCTCGTACCAGCTCGCACTCTAACACGCCGTATACAAACTATCGTGGGCATAGTGACTAAGCGGACAGAAACTTACAATACGCAAGTGAGTGACACTAAAGGAAACAATGCAATTTCATTACGAGTAACTAGAGTAGACCGCGCTGAACTTTTGTCCGTGGAAAATCCTAACTATAAGGAAATGATCAGCAAATACCGCCATCTGGAAGGCGTTTCAATGGAAGACACCGACACTAAGAGCTTACTTCCGGTCCATGTTATTCTGGGCGCGAGTGACTACGCGAAGATAAAAACTCGAGAATCCCAACGCACCGGAGCTATCGGCGAGCCTGTGGCTGAGTACACTCTTTTTGGATGGACCATCATGTCACCAGGAACGGAGACAGACCTGGACAAGATGTTTCTAGCGCAGACGGCCTCGAATGACTATGAAGAGCTTTACCGGATGGACGTCCTAGGACTCGAAGACAAACCTAATGGCGATCAGAGCGTTGTTTATGAAGAATTCCTTGAACAACTCAGCCGCAGCCCTGAGGGTTGGTATGAAACTGGCCTTCCCTGGAAAGAGGACCATCCTCCGTTGCCCTCTAACAAGTCTGGAAGCTTAAAGCGACTGGGGAGCCTAGTCCAACGACTTAAGAAGACAGGAAGGCTAGACGACTATGACGCTATCATGCAAGACCAGCTTAACGAAGGAATTATTGAAGAAGCAGAGATGCCAGCAACTCAAAGAGAATTCTACATCCCGCACAAAGCAGTAGTGAGAGAGAGTGCAGAAACTACCAAGATGCGTATTGTCTACGATGCCTCAGCAAGAGCGTACGACTCAGCCCCTTCCCTAAACGACTGTCTGGAAGTTGGACCACCCCTGCAGAATCAACTATGGAAGGTACTCCTAAGGGGACGGTTTCATTCAGTGGCTATCGCTGGTGATATTCGCAAAGCATTTCTTCAAGTGCGTATCCGAGAGCAGGACCGAGATGCACTGCGGTTTCATTGGTTGGAAAGCAAGGATCCTTTTCGTGTTCGCACGTACCGATTCACCAGAGCTCTGTTTGGTTTGGGACCCTCGCCGTTTCTGCTTGGCGGCGTAATTCAGCACCATCTGAACACTTGCAGACCTACACACCCTGATCGCGTAGCAGAAATCGAGCGAGAACTGTACGTTGACGATCTCATTTCTGGTGGAGGTACTATCCAAGAAGCGAAACAAAAGAAAGCTACAGCAACTGAGATGTTCCACCAGGCCACCTTTCACTTACACAAGTGGCATTCAAACGTGACTGAACTAGAGCTCACTGAAGAAACTGAAACTGGGGATGACTTAAGCTACGCCAAGCAACAACTCGGAATCAAGCCGAGAGAATGTGGGCTGCTTGGTTTAAAGTGGAACAAACTGACGGACGAAGTTGGAGTTACAATTCCAGAGGAAGTTGCCCAACCGACAAAGAGAGGGATTCTGGGAAAAGTGGCGAGGATCTATGACCCCCTTGGTCTTATCGCTCCAATCACCCTGCAAGGAAAGCTTCTGTACCGCGATGCCTGTAAAGAGAAACGTGCATGGGACGCTCCGTTATCCACCCCCCTAGAACAGCAGTGGCAGAAGTGGGAACGTTCCTTGCCGCAACACGTAACTTGTCCACGAGCACTTACCAGCGTCCAAGAACCTATCGAGGACATTAAACTTCATGCTTTTGGAGACGCGAGCGGAAAGGGCGTGGCCGCTTCTGTGTACGCTGTGGTCAAACAGTCAAGCGCAATCAACCAAGGCCTGGTTACAGCAAAGGCAAGACTGGCCAAACAAGGGCTGACAATACCTCGCCGCGAACTGGTCTCCGGTCACATGGCTGTAAATCTTCTGACCAACGTACAAGATGCACTTCAAGGACTCCCTGTGACTTCGCTGCATTGTTGGCTTGACAGCAGCGTTGCCTTACATTGGATACTAAAAGGAGGAGACTATAAGCAGTTTGTGGCCAACCGGGTACGAAAAATTAGAGAACACTCTAATGTTGTCTGGAGGCACGTACCTACTCAGGATAATCCTGCAGATCTTGCTAGCCGAGGTGGACTGGTAACTGAGGAGAACCAACTGTGGTGGAAGGGACCAGAGTGGCTAAGTGATCCTGCGAAATGGCCAGCCGACCTTGTGACCGCGCCCACCGCTGAATCTAACGCAGAAATGAAAGCTACAAAGGAGCTCTTTGCCATGGCCGTTAAAGCTGATGACGATCTAGACCATCTTCTGGCCAAGCACAACTACTGGAAGACTTTGCGAGTGTGCGCTTGGATTATGCGGTTCGCAAACAACGCTAGAGCTAAAAGAGCGACAAGAACAAAGGGACCCCTGACAACAGACGAAATTGAGAAGCAGAAACACTTTTGGTTGCTACGCGTACAGAGCCGGGGAAGTGAAAGCATGGAGGAAGATCGCCTGTGCCTAAACTTACAGAAGAACAAAGATGGATTGCTTGAGTGCCGTGGGAGACTGCAAGGGGTCTATCCGATATACATCCCAGACGCCACAACGTTCGCAAACAAATATGTCGAACACGTCCACAAAGCCACTCTTCACGGGGGAGTGGGGCTTACTATGGCTAAAGTGAGAGAAGAGTTCTGGATTCCCCGCCTGAGGCGCCTCGCGAAGAAAGTCATCAGGGAGTGTTATGGGTGCAAACGCTTCCAGGCTGTTGCTCTCGCAGCTCCACCCCCCGGTTTATTGCCTCTGGAGAGAACTGAGGGCTCAACTCCCTTTGAAATTGTTGGCGTAGATTTTGCTGGGCCGATTAAGTACCGCAAGTCCTCTCGTGTAGAAGGAAAAGGCTATCTGGTGCTCTACACGTGCAGTTTAACGAGAGCCTTGTACTTGGAGGTCCTGCCTAATCTGGAAACTACTACCTTTCTTTCAAGCTTGAAGCGTTTCATCGCTAGACGTGGACGACCTTTAAAGATCTTTTCAGACAATGGAAAAACGTTCGTAGGAGCGGCAAACCTACTGAAAGGAATCCAGAAAGATGAGCAAGTTCAAGGCTACCTTGCATCGGAGAAGATTATCTGGAGGTTTAACCTAAGTCGAGCACCCTGGTGGGGTGGCCAGTTTGAGCGACTAGTGGGCCTCTTCAAACGTGCATTCTATAAAGTAATTGGTGGAGGAATGCTATCCTGGTCAGAGCTGTGCGAAGTCGTGCTAGATGTTGAAACTCAACTAAATCGCCGCCCCCTGTCCTATGTAGAAGATGACGTCCAGCTCCCTCTACTCACCCCATCTTCTTTCCTATTCCAAAGATGTATTCGCCTCCCTGAACAAGAACCATGGCGAGAGGAGACAACTGACCTACGAAAGCGTGCCAAGTATTTGAGGTCTTGTAAGGACGCTGTGTGGAGACGCTGGTCTCGAGAGTACTTGGCGACGCTCAGAGAGCGTCACAACTGCAATGGAAAAGGCAAGGCGAGGCCCTTAAAGCCTGGTGACGTCGTTCTCATTCGTTCAGAAGAAAAGAACCGAGGAAAGTGGCCATTAGGAGTGGTCGTTAAACTATTCAACGGCCGTGATGGAATTGTACGTGGAGTGAAGCTGCGCGCAGGGAAAACGTTTCTGGAGAGGCCGATTCAACACCTTTATCCCATGGAACTAGCATGCGATAGAGCGCCGGAGAGAGCTGAAGTCCTTACCCCCCTGAATGCTAAAGCGCCAGTTTTTCGTCCACGGAGAGATGCTGCGGTTGCAAACTAAACGCAGGACAGAACTGTGCGGATGGACGGAGAATATAAAGTGATTTCAGCGAACTTTGACATTCATTACTTTGTTTTGTTTTGTTTCTGATTTCAATTTAATTATTAATTAAGCTAGCCGTTTCCTCTGTTTACATGTGCTTCCGTTTGGAAGGCACATGGGGGGAGTGTGTCGGAAACAGAATAATAGCATAGATATCAAATAGCGATTGTGAAATGTTTGTCTGGAAATTTTGTTATTCTTATGTCTGGAAGATTCGTATCTAGCCAATCAGCGTTCTTTTTAACTAAGGTGTCCCGCAAAGATAAGGAACAATTGTCTGTGATTTATTTAGCTTTCAGTCGAAGTAATCTTCCATATTAGTCGAGTCGAGGAGTTGTGACAGTTGTGAAACCTAGCGAGAATGGAAGAGGAGAAGAATAAAAATCTAGTGAAGACGAGACAGTGTGGGCTATCCTTACTAATTCCCCACATTATATCGCACTGGAATGTCCCTCTCTTTAGGATAAAACGTGGGATCCTTACCCGTTTTATGGCATCGAGGTCAAGACAAGTAACTTAGTTGTGAATCGTTTTTTTCATAACTGGGAACCTAATTGCATCGGTTAACAGCCACCCACAGTGGCTGTGTTTTTTTACATCTCCATCATGATAGTTATTATTGTAATTAGAGTGGAACACGCGCGCAAATAAATCAATTTTAAGTTATTTAGCGGAAGATGCATGCGTTATTCGCATATGGCAGAACACTCTGCACTTTCTAGCTTGAATGAAAGGACATTCTTCTCGAAATGAATGCTGGCGGAAAATTTTAAGAAGAAAAGCCTCTGAGATCGTGGAACACATAAGGCCCTGTCTAGACAATTGCGTGATAAAGAACTTTATCGGTGTTTACTTAGCCTCCTCTACTCTAGAAGGGTTGGAACAATTTGATAAGTTATGAAAACCGTGACGCATTTCACTCGAGTTCCCACGAAGATATGTCGAGCTCACGATAATCGAGGAAGACATATAGATGAAGTGCTTCCTTCTTTTTCTTTTTCCTCGGGCTCAGAGGGATTATGATGGCCAAACACAAAATCAAACTTTGCCTTTTTTCCCTATTGTTTTAATATTTGCACTTGCAATTTTTTTTGGCGAGTGTTGTGAAAGATCTCAGATCAAAACCGTCACGTACACTCTCTTAAGTATCTCACAATAAGCATCTCAAGAGATATCTCGGGAAAGTCATTCTCGATAAAATTACGTTATTTCAAATAGTGATGTGACAAGAGATTATTGGCAGAGAAAATAGGTCCAACTACCTGTCAGGTAATAAGAAACTCAGCGGAGAGTATAGTCTTATCAGTTTATAAAGCCTGCCGCCACATCTTCTGTATAGTTTCTCGTCGTATATGCCTGCTGCATACATCCAAAGAGTTACGCCCAAATCATTACAATGAGACGTTCTCAACAAGGAATAGGTATGTAATACCGGCTGTTTTGTATACAATTTGCAGTACATAGAAACTTCTGGAAACACTTTGGACATTTTTTTTTCCAAATATAGGACTTTTGTAAGGGTAAGAATTCTCGGGAAGCCTTCCATATATCATCAATTGAGTGGACAGAAGTTGAAGTGCAGGCGTAGTGATTCATAGTCGTTCTGGATGCTTGTTTAGATAAAACACGTTCTTTTCATCTAACACAGTCGAACCTTAACACTAATGATTTTCTATTACTTTGTTTTACACTGTGTTCTTTACAATCCCATTTCCAAACTCTCAAGATCGGCTTGTTTCTCAACACAAAATCAAACTTTGCGTTTTGTCGAGTGTTGCGAAAGATCTGAGATGACGTCAAAACCGTCACATGCACTCTCTCTTAAGTATCTCACAATAAGCATTTTAAGAGATATCGCAGGACGGTCATTCTCGATAAAAAATAGATTGATACGTGTGATGTCTCTGACAGTATATGAAATAAAATGTTGAGAAAATAGATTATTGGCAGAGAAAACAGGTCCACTCTCCTGTCAGATTTATTCCACATCACTTTATAAAGGTTGCCGCCACATTTTCTGTATAGTTTCTCGTTTTCTATTTGGTCGTATATACGTGCTGCATACATCCAAAGAGTAAGACCCAAATCATTACAACGAGACGTTCTCAACAAGGAATAGGCATGATATTATCAAGTATCGTGAGATTATATAGCTGTTTCATCATAGCTTTGGCAACGCGGCAAAATTCCAGTATCAGTTGGTTTCGCGTAGACCTTTCTGTCTGGTCGGGGACTGTTTCTGATAATCATCATTCCAAGAAAGAGAAGTCTGTCGTTGTTCTCAAGTTCCTATTTGAAACTGAGTGAAGGGTGGATTTCATTCAGTGTTCACAAGAATACCGAGGCAGATGAAACATCGGGCATTTTGCTAAGGGTTTTATCGACAAAGGGCGAAACTTAGCAATCCACCTAGAGAAGTTAGACCAAGTTGTCACAAGTCGGAAAGTCATCCCGTCAACGTAAAGGTAAATAACATCGGAATTCGAGTTGATACGTTAAATACACTCTGGATATAAACGAAAGATTCAATCATACTAAACTAATTAACTAAATTACGAACTAATTATCAACTAGCTAAATGATTCATAACAAATTTATTTGAATAAAATGCCAGATTTTGTATTTTGTATCGCTACAAAAGTTATAAGCAGACACACGTCAGCAATTTTTCTGCATTATAATATTACATTGAACACTTCAATCCAAATCACCTTGCAGTAATCATCACACAATACGCCGCGGTGACTTCTGCGGCTCAAAGTGCGCACTTTAATGGAATAAATACCTTGCGGTCAGAATTTATTTCCCAAATTTTCAATTTAAACCCAATTTCATTTCGAGGGTTCCCAAAAATTATGCTGATTTTGTAGATGATGGAAGAAATGCGCGGGCGTAGGTATCATTTATGGTGACGTTCGAAGCTCCGCCCGCATTATCTGGCGATTAGTTCAAGTTATTCAACGGGTAAAACTAATTTCCTTACTTTCGCGATGTTTCCGGTTCAACAATAGACTTATATAACAAATACTTTTGCTTAAGAACTTAAGTGGCTTATCACCTTTATGCGTGCCAAGAAAACTGCCGGTTCCCCTCTTTTTTTTTCTTTTTTACCCGGCATCTGCTGCAAATGGATTTCTGGATTAGGAAATACTCTGACTCACGCGAAAACTATTTGCGATTAAAAAAAAAATGTTCAAATAGTCTTTGGGTGAATTTTTCACGCGTTTGGTCACAATCCAAACGACCTTTTGAACGGCAGCTGAAATCACAAGACTTGAAAACAGAGGATTTTTTTGCATTTTTTGTTTTGATTTTTGATGGTTTATTTGTTTTTCTCTTCATACTTCACCGCTGAGTAAATGTATAGTTATTTTCGGTTTCCAAAGTCTGAAGACTGCGTTTGATTAAACATCAGCTAACAATGAATATGTCGAAATTTCCGGACAGAGAAGACATCGACATGTTATCGTCTGATAAAATAATAAAACCAAAAAACCTACGCATTCAAATTTAAAGGTAGCATTTGAAGCCAACCTCAGCTCTCAAGGAGAAATGGATGCTAATTATAAGAATAATACATATACCTGATATTTTTTTGGGTCAACAACACTGTATAAGACAGATATATCTCGGTAGCTTGCAGCAGTATCTTATCAGAAGGAATGTATTAATAAGAAATCATTGTATTTCCGATAATACGCACGCAAATCCGCTGGGCATTTTCCCTGAGGTCATAAAGTAATGCGAAATTTAATATGCGTGACATATCTCTGGATCCATCGATTGATTGATTGACTGACTGACTGACTGACTGACTGACTGATTGATTGATTGATTGATTGATTGATTGATTGATTGATTGATTGAGTGAGTGAGTGAGTGAGTGAGTGAATAAATGATGATGTGACTGCTTGGCCGTTTCACTATCATTGAAGTCAAACTAATTTTGTACTCTGTTCCATAATAATCTGGGTAAGCCATGACATATCGTCACGAGATATTCGCTCTCGCTTTATCAAAGCTGATTTATAATCGAGTGACGAGGTGTGTAAGGTTCTTTAAAGAGAAATTAACGGAGGACATCTTACTGAAATCAAATAGGTCTTCAGAGAGTTTACTGCATCTTCCATTATCTTCCACCATTTCGCCGAAAAAGCGCTCGAGTACAATTCAGGCCATTTCAAATAACTTCTTCGTGTTACTCACTTAGCCTGTTTAGTTCAGCTGCAAACTTAAGTTATATCGCACTGGAATGTCCCCCTTTTTAGGATAAAACGTGGGATCCTTACCCGTTTTATGGCATCGAGGTCAAGACAAGTAACTTAGTTGTGAATCGTTTTTTTCATAACTGGGAACCTAATTGCATCGGTTAACAGCCACCCACAGTGGCTGTGTTTTTTTACATCTCCATCATGATAGTTGTTATTGTAATTAGAGTGGAACACGCGCGCAAATAAATCAATTTTAAGTTATTTAGCGGAAGATGCATGCGTTATTCGCATATGGCAGAACACTCTGCACTTTCTAGCTTGAATGAAAGGACATTCTTCTCGAAATGAATGCTGGCGGAAAATTTTAAGAAGAAAAGCCTCTGAGATCGTGGAACACATAAGGCCCTGTCTAGACAATTGCGTGATAAAGAACTTTATCGGTGTTTACTTAGCCTCCTCTACTCTAGAAGGGTTGGAACAATTTGATAAGTTATGAAAACCGTGACGCATTTCACTCGAGTTCCCACGAAGATATGTCGAGCTCACGATAATCGAGGAAGACATATAGATGAAGTACTTCCTTCTTTTTCTTTTTCCTCGGGCTCGGAGCGATTATGATGGCCAAACACAAAATCAAACTTTGCCTTTTTTCCCTATTGTTTTAATATTTGCACTTGCAAAAGATGAAAGATCTCAGATCAAAACCGTCACGTACACTCTCTTAAATATCTCACAATAAGCATCTTA